AGTAAGCTAGGGTCTGCAATAATACCATTGTACAGTTTGTTGTTAGGTGTTGGAAATGGAAACACTGCACATAACTTCTGTTTAAAACGATTCATTGTAAGATATGTGTGAATTCGGGGTGCAGTTTAAAATACTGTGTGCTGCTCGGCGCCTCGTCTTCTCACTGGTCCATACTGTCTTCATGCTCCGTTAATAACCGTGTTGAACTTGGACCTTGCAGTAACACCCCATCCCATCTGAGGATTATTCTACAGCCGGTGTACAGCTTCTACTAGTAGACACGACTCCAGGAGTGAACGCATCTATGGAGTACCCCAATTATTTGTAGTGGCGGACTTTAACTGTATCACCAAGTAACCATTAATTTATACAAATAAATAAAGAAATCAATTTATTCTCATAGTACAGTACATGAGGGACGCCAGTTTACAGGTATCATCAGATTGTTACAGAAATAGAACCATATAATTCAATCACAATTTACAGGCAGTAGCCAAAGGATCGTAGGAAACTGAAGAGACTGTCAACAAGTTACTTCAGACGACACGACTTTAGTACTCCAGGGTCAATACTTAGTACTCTTAGCTCCATCTCGCAAGCTCATAACTTGCGTATGAGAAATGAAGAATGCACCGCCAGCACCACCAGAGTAGGAGCTCTCACAGAAATCCTTAAGAAACGAATGAATCGCCAAAGCCATAAAATTTCTCTCCTTATAAACAAGGGCAATCTATACAGCAACCATGCAGGCATGTGTGAACTGTTCAACGAGACGTTTGCAGCTAACTACCTTAAGCCCACAAGTCCACTTCTCGGTTTACAATCTACAATAGAACTCCCTTCTTCTTCAACGCTGAAACAAATCAGTACAGTTCATTTCACTTATTCTAATATCAACCAAGCCATTAATAATCTTAAAAGCTCAAGTAGTGCTGGTTTTGATGGTATACCATCGTATCTTTATGTTTAGAAAATGATAAGTCATGTGAGTGTTTCAGTCCTAGGTTCAGTACAGTTTCCAGTCGTAGAAGTGCGTGGCCTTGAATTGTCAAGTTCTAAATTGTTGCAACCTATGCAGAGCCAGCCACATTTTTCGACATTAAACCGGAGTTGCCAGGTGTCACACCATCTATCCATTTTTTCTAATTCTTGCTATATGGCGTTTACTGTTATTCTAAGATCTGTGTTCTTGCATTTATACGTCACTTTTAAGTCATCTGCATATAGTATTGGTTTACCTACACTAAAGCATTCACAGATACTGTTTATATATACCATGAATAGGAGTGGGCCTAATACACTTCCTTGGATTACACCACTACTTACTGGTTTAGGCCTTGAGATTGTCGAGCCAACTTTCGTCGTCCGACTTCGGCCACAGAGAAATGATTTTATCCAGCTCAGGAGAGGGTCACATATCCCTAGTGAGCATAACCTGCTGAGTAGCAGATTATGGGGAACTCTGTCGAAGGCTTTTGTTATATCGAAATATAGCACAATTACTAGTTCTCTGTTGTCCCCACTTCGTGTAACTTCGTTGAAAAAGTCTATGTGACAGGTCACACATGATCTCTTTTTGAGGAATCCGTGTTGTGATGGATTGATAAATTCATGTTCTAGTAAGTTGTCTGACACTTGGTCTTTAACCACTTTTTCCATTATTCGGGATATTACCGATGTTATATTGATAGGTCTATAGTTGCATACACTGGTTTTGGCCCCTGCTTTGTGCTTAGGTAATATGTATGTGGTTTTCCTCATTTCAGGATAAGTTCCAGTTTCCAACGAGAGAGTAGATATTCCAAGTAACAAGACTACCATTTCCGTGCTACCATTTTTGTATATGACAGTAGTATGTCGTCTGTTCCAGTACTACCATTAGACTTCAATAGTCTTAATCTCTGAGTCTACATTCTGTATATTAAAGTCTATTTCGCCTGATTTGTGGTTACTTTTGCAGGTCATTTGGTAATTTGGGGTCGGGTGCACTATGGTGTCATTGCAAAACCACTCACTAAGGAGTTCAGTTATAACCTGGGGATCATTGTATATTATCCCCTTATGTTCCAAGCTGCTTACATTATTGTCTTTACTGCTTTTCAGACGTTTCTGCAATATCCTGCAAAGTCCCTGAGTTCTGGAGTAACCCACAAGCGCTTTATTTTTTTCAAGTTTTGACATCATTTTGTGTTTATCTTCAAGCAGTTTAAGAGTTTCATGTATTTGGTTCAACGCATTAAATGCCTTAAATAAATGGTATTTCATTTCCAATTTCTTTAGCTTTAGTCGCGTTTTGTGGTCTATAAGTGGAGTTGGTGTCTTTAGAGCAGATTTTAGGGGCGCGATTGTGTCTCTTGCTGAGCCAATTGTTTTGTAGAAAATCTCAAGTGATACTTCTAAGTTATTGTTGATGAAGTATTCTACCCAGTCAGAACTTCTCAACAGATCTGATAGGAATTCCCAATCAGCATTCATGGTGAACTGTGTCAAATGCCTTCTCAAAGTCTAGGAAGACCATATAGATTGGAGCATTCATGTCCCAGCATGATATCCAGTCGTCCCAAGCTGACAGGTTTGTTAAACAGGATCTGCCTTTCCTGAAACCATTTTGTGCTTCATGGAGTCTATTGGTCCTGTCGAGGTACTCTCTGATGTGACCATCAATTGCAATTTCCAGTACTTTTGATACCACTGGGACTAGCTCCACTGGTCTGTAAGTGGTGGCATTTTTCATGTCCCCACAGTTGAAAATCAGAGAAATGATGGCTCTCTTCCGCTTCTTTGGCAGTTTCCCTGAATTCATCAAGTGTTGGAACAAGTCGCATAAGGGCCTACAGAGAGCTTCAGAGCAGATAGCCTAGTATCTTCACAACCTGGGGACTTTCCAGATATGAGTCTCTGCAGCTTATTTGGAGAGTAGCCACCACGTTTTCCTCTGGCGAAGTAGTAGCGCCGCCACTTCGGTCCGTAACAGTAATACCCATACTGCTGTTTATTTGTTTGGTGAAGGCTAAACTGAATGTTTCAGCTCCTTCTAAACTAGTGAGACATTTACCGTTTGGACCTACTAAGGCTCCGACATAGATCGGTGCAGGCTTTTAGGGTTCGCCAGGAGTTTCATGGCAAGGTAAACCTGAAGTGAACTCCTGTCTCTCCTGACTCTCGTGTTTTACCGGTTCCCGAGTTCCAGGTATGCATCGTGGTCGGTCTCACTCTTGCTTATTTGCCACACAGAATAAGCCTTGCGCTTTGCTTTTAGAGAACAATGCGTACCTCCCTGCGGCCTTGGGGATCTTGCCTTCGGTTGTGTTGTGACTATAGGGACAGTATTTGGGGCTGCTGTGTGAATAATCTCTTTTGCCACTTCCCAGTGTTCATCCACAGATAACTGAGCCCGTTCAGCGGGCCATTCTGCGTCAGATAAAAGCTTCTGCATTTCAGCATAGTTCACCATGTTATAGCACACACATAATCGCGAAGCACTCCACTGTAAGTGCTCACGGAGAACAAGACTCAATTCTACGACTGCGTGAAGTCATGATCTGGACATTTTCGACAAGTGGTTGGTCACTAATTAGAATATAATCCAGCTTCGATAACTTTTCATTATTGTCTTTACTGCTTGTTAGACGTTTCTGCAATATCCTAAAAAGTCCCTGAGTTTTGGAGTTACCAGTTATATTTATTCCTATCTATGTAGGACACACCATTTGTACAGACATGGATAAGTATTATTTACATTACATGAATTTGATTTATGATGAAATTACATGGTTGCTGTCCTCTCTGACATCAGTTAGGGAGTACAATCTGATAGCTAGTCGTTCAATGGAACACATTAAGAGATATAGAAATATTGTCTTAACATGAACAAAAAAACCCAAGTATGTGTCGGATAAATTACAAATATTTGGGAAAAAAATGAAGCTTGAAGTCAATTCCTCCATATAACTTTGTTGTGTGCGGCATCGTATCTTGTTCTTGTTTTATGTTCAAATTGGGTATTAATTTAAAATGAGTGATTTATTTGTATGATTTTGACATCATTTTTATTGCAAGTAAAACCAGACGTGAATTCTACTGAATACAGAGACGCCAACCTCTTGGAAAGAGTCCAACGACGGGAAACAAAAGGAGTGGTTGGTCTCCGAAACAAACCATATGATGAAAGGCTGAAGGAATAAGGCCTATTCACACTTAGCTACCGTCGTCTTAGGGGGGATTTAATTACTGCCTACAAAATAAAATGGCCAGAATCACCCAAACAAAGCTGTTCTGCCATTCGGTAAGTATGGGCTTCCTCGTGGAAATCCCGGAAGGATAGCTCACTAGATGGCAAAGACTCGAATAAGCTACCACTGTGGGTTTTCCGTCCCTGGAACTCCTTACTGGCGTATGTAGCTAAGGCAGCATCTGTGGACAGCTTTAAACGAAGACTGAGCAGTCATGCAGCGACACAAGGACTGTATCTAAATGGTCTGTCCCTTTAAAATCCCACACACTATCAATGGATAGACATTTAAATTCATCATTTTACTTCTTTACATTATCTCCCATCATACTCTCCTGACTACTCTAAATATCATACTTACACTTGTTACTATTATTGGCATTATATATATATATATCAACTTCAAATTTAATGGGCTGCATGTTTTTCCGTTTTCATTATTTCTTTTTCTGTTTTTAGTCTGGAAAACCAACACTAATTATATCTGTTACAACTATTATCTCTTTTCTTTTGACGATGACACTGGGGTACTTACTGGTGAAAGGATCAACTCCAGTCACAATAGCAAAAATGTCTTAACACACCACATACTACAAACAGCATATAATTATTCCCAGCATCACTCCTTTTGAAGTCAACCAAATCTACGGCAGTCGAGTGGCGGAAGTTTGCTGACGACAGGGAACATATACCTCACAATCAAGAAGCGAGAAAGAAATCAAATTAGTTTACATTGGCTCGTAAAAACGATATTGAATATTGGAAAATTGTCTAGGTCACGCCTCACTATCCAAGTAGAAGGTCATGGCTGGGAAACGTGCTCGTGGTCGTAGACGGACTATTTCAAAGTTCGAGAGGAAGAGGAACAAGGCGATGATTGAACGAAGTGTAATTTTACTCAACAGTCATGCTTCAGTATTCCGAAATGAGGTGCACATACGCGCTCAGTCAAGTACCGAAAATATCAAGGAAACTGACGAATTTGCTGAACACTTATCCGATGAAAAAGCAGAAATTGTTCCATGTCCAGAAAATACAGTTGAAGAAGCTATTTTTGAATTTTCACTAATGAAGTGTCCATAATTATGACAATTTAGGTAGTGGTACTACCAGAACAATGTAATTTGTTTACTGTGATTTCATGTTTTACTTATGGTGTGCTTTCATTATTTTCTGTATTACTGACATAATTGTACTCATCAAAGCGTCAAATTTTAGGTTAATCTTCGTATGCGATTATTCTTTGAGTAGAATGATAAGTGTATATAAATATATCAATGTATATATGATTATTTATACTTCTACTAATTCTAATTAAGCAAACAGCTATGTCATAGTTTTGCAAGTTTGAGTAATTTGATATGAGAAATGGTACATGCTGGGTTTGAACACACGAGTGGTTCCCGGTTTATTACTCATAAAACTGACTAGGATTCCTTGTGTACTGACTCAGTCTGTTAGTCGATGGATTAATAAGTGATCTGAATATTTAGTTTCAGGTATTTGGCTACGCCTAATGAGTAGTTGATTCATTTTTATACCATAGGCGTGTCGAAGACGCGTAGAACACCAGCATTTGAAAAAATCGAGAAGCTGTAGTGACCTTGTTTTCGCAAACGACATCTTATATTTTTCATTGAGTATATAGTTGAAAGTTATTAAATAAATAACCAAAGGCCACAATTGTAGGAGCGCTTCAATTCCAGTGGTTTTGCCTCCCACCAATTGAGTAGGATGAAGCAAACTGCTGCACAGATTATCTCCCTATTAATAACTGCACATTTGTCACTCATTGATTGTTGAATCTCGAAGTTGTTCTATGTTGATATTTTGTCATTAATCATTCATTATGTTCTACGACTTTATCTTTAAGCTAGATGGAATCATATTCAAATGTTTGCTCAGTGTGGATGAAAGACTTTGCAGCTCATCATTCATTGTCGTTTTCATTAACAAATTACTGTACAGTCTACGCATATTCTCAGAAAAGTTCATTTCAAAATATAAACCTGTAATATTATATATATATATATATAAACTCATTTCCGGTAGACAGTTCAGGCTAAAATCCTCTAAAAGTTAGTATGTAGCTGAAAGAGTGTGGATAGTGTCTCAGTCATTGCACATTGTAGCTACTCCGTTTACGGTTAGATCTTGTCACAATACTTATCGATCGACAGTTCGAGATATATTGCAAATGTTAGATGTTTGCATTATATCTGTTCTGAATAATCTGTTTGGAGGTAGTGACATAAGTAGTCCACCGCCGTCTAAGCCTAAAGATCTGTTTGCTTCTCTCAAGTATGTAATTTCAAAGTGTTTACTCTTTGCAAATCTATGGACGGCAACGTTTTAGAAACTATATTTGTCAAATTGATCTACCTGTGTTTATCGAGGGATGATTTATCCCATTCCCCTCAAATTCCCTGCTGCTAAGTAACACCGTAGTTTAACTGGTTATTAATTCCTTACCAGCATTCCTAAAGATTTCTGGCGTCTTACCTCGACTTAGTTTACAAGACCTTCAAAGCTTTGACTAGATTGTGATAATGAACGTGGAGGTGTACCGTCTGAATTGTTTCTTTAAGTGTTTCGAATGGTCTAGCCCTCTTAATTTCACTTGCGACGGCTTTTTTAGAAACTTAACCCGTTGATAGGTTTTATTTAGTTTTGATGCCTTCTCAGTTTTTAATAATGTTTTGGTCAGTTTAAGTCTAGGCAGCATTTTTTGAATTGGTGTTCTTCAGTATTAACTCAACGAAAACTCGCTATGATGTTTTCTGGGCGAACTTTTCAGATCCACTGGATCGAGTAGGTATGTTTAAGCTAGTATCCATACTTGTGTTTCGTATGTATCTCTCAGAGGTGCAGTCAACATCATAGCTCAAGATGCTTGTTGACCAAATTGGCATATGGTGAAATTTTCATTGTGGAGCTTGTGGTGTTTTACGGGATTTGGATTATTTTTCTGTCATTTTATAATCAATGGTCACAGGATTAAGAGAAGACGAAAAAAATAGAAAATAGTTGTAAGTAGGAGTTTGTTAGACTGAAGATTGGAAGTGGTGAATATTGAGTACGGGCAATTGGTATATTCAGACTGTTTACAACGAAATTTAATCTCCTCATGCAGCTAGAACAAGAATAGGGTCTGTTTTGCTTGCTTGTAGAGCCCATGAAATGTTACTTAAGGTCAGTCACGTGTGGCCTGCTGAGAAATACTCCAAATTGTGGAGTTTCATCTGTACAAATACACCACTGCAAGGTAAACTGAGATGTACGCTTCCTTAGTTATTATTCTGGTAAGAATATGGTAATACCATTTGCAGATTTCTTCAATGTAATTATAGTTACCCAAATGATTTGTACTCTGCCTTTGATCAGTGTGAGGTGATTACACTGGTTAGGTAATATAGAATTAATTTATTTACCACGATGGTTTCAGTGGTTATGATTTATTCTTTCTATGATTCAGTCTTAAGAAGCGTTAATCATGAGGAATTTAGCTAATTAACACCCACTTAATGTACTTGTTGTAGTATGAACTTCATATACGGTTATTTTTCTTATTCCTTTTGCTTTCCCAGTGGAACATAGGGCTTCAAGCTTAAGCTTTGAAGTTTCAGTGTCAGCGGTATTTTTACGGCATAGGGTTACTAGCTTCATATTAGTTTGTTTATTAGATGTATCACACAGTGAAACAGTATTATTTACTGGGTGACCTTTCGAACACAATTTATTGTTCATAATCATATCAGTTATGATCACACGACTTCTTAACTTGGCTTTTATAGTTTTCTTTGTTCTCTCCTATTTGTTGTCGTTGGGGTAGTAGAATTCTCCAGATGTCCAACTGGACAGGTGTTGAATCATTCCTATTGCAGACACGTATTTGCAGTTGAATCGATAAACAAAGCTTCTGTTATCAATCTCTCCCACCACCCTGTGACATTAGATTTTAAAACTGTCATCATATCCTATAGTATTATTATTATTATTTCCTTTAGTTCCTAGAGGAACATAGGGCTTCAGCCATACGTCTCCATTGCGTTCGGTTCCCTGCTAGAGTTTTCACCTGGCTCCAAGTCTGCCCATACGCTTTCAATTCTTCTTCACATGATCTCCACCAGGACGACCAACTCGTCGCTTCCCTTTCGGGTTCCACTCGAGCAATGGCTTGTCTAGTGATGTCACTTGCTGGTTTCCTCAGAGTGTGGCCAATCCATCTCCATTTCTTCCCGCCTATTTGTTTCACAATCGGTTCCTGGTTGGTTCGCTCCCAGAGATCTTTGTTGCTGATCCTTTCCGGCCATCTGATCTTGAGTATTGAGCGAAGACATCTGTTGATGAAGGTCTGTAGTTTGTTCGAAGTGCTCTTCATGACGCTCCAAGTCTCTCATCCATAATGTAGCACTGACTCCACATTGGAGTTGAAAATCCGGATCTTATTTTTGACGCTGAATGCTGTTGACCTCCACACAGACTTGAGAGTAATGAAAGCTTGCCTTGCTTTCCCGATCCTTGCTTTGATATCCTCGTCAGTTCCGCCTGTAGTTGAAACAATGCTTCCCAAGTAGGTAAAGGAGGTAGTTTCTTTCAGGTTCCTTCCATTTATGCTGATTGCTGTCTGTTGTTGTTGCTGTGGCTGTTGGTGTTGGCCAGGAATCTTCATCACCTCTGTTTTCTCTATGTTCACCTGGAGTCCTATCTTTGATGCTTCTTCTGCCAACTTGTTACTTTTCACTTGCATATCTTCCAGTTTGTGGGAAATCAGACATATATCATCGGCGAAGTCCAGATCCTCCAAGTTTTTTGTGTGAGTCCATTTTATGCCTGTTTCCTCATTGCCCGCTGTTTGTCACATTATCCAATCTACTGCAATCAGGAAAATCATTGGCGATAGTAGGCAACCCTGTCTTACTCCTGTCTTCACTTCGAAGGATTCCGTGAGCTTCCCGTTGTGGATTACTTGGCATGCAGCGTTGTCATACAACTGTTGGATGAGATGTATAATTGTCGGTGGCACCCCGTAGTAGCGAAGTAGCTGCCAAATCACCTCTCGATCGACGCTGGGCTATCGAAGGCCTTTTCAAAGTCGATGAAGTTGAGATAGAGAGGTGACTGCCATTCCAAGCTTTGTTCAGTGATGATCCGTAGTGTGGCGATTTGATCAATACATGACTTGTTTCTCCTGAATCCAGCTTGTTCCGGTCGAAGTTTTTCATCCAGGTTGGCATGTTTGATCCCTTCCAGGATGATGCGGCTTAGTATTTTGCTTGGGATGGACAGGAGCATAATTCGGCGCCAGTTCTTGCATTGACTTAAGTCTCCTTTCTTTGGTAGTTTGAATAAGTATCCTTTCTTCCAATCCTCGGGTACTTTGCTTTCTTTCCACACCTTCTCCAGTAGTGGCGTCATCAAGTCCGCTGTTGTCTCTGGATCCTATAGTATGGTTGTGTGTAATTGCATGTAGTGCTATAACTGAACTATTCTCTGGATTTCTTATCTTATTCGGGTCAAATAATCTAGATTTTGCTAGGTTTTTATGCTCGGCTAGTCTGACTGCACCTGTTCTACTACTTTGACGTCAAACAATACTGTCTCTCTGTGTGGTATATCTAATAAACAAACTAATATGGAATTCGAGCAAACAGTTAGTCATAATAAAGTAATAAAGTCAAAAGGTAGTTACAAAGGGGAGGATTCGTTCGTGAAACTTATGCATACTATGCAATTGGCCAAAAAAAAATCTGCACAAATGTCTATCGACCATACAGATTTGGCTTGTTCAGATGAATTCCCATTGCTTGTGCTGCATGTAAAAGTCGTACCTGTAGGGCTTTGATAGAGTTAGAATGATGTCCAGTATCGACGAGATGAACTAGTATTCAGATGTGTATAGCTTTATTCAAACCTTTGCCAGACCAAGATGGGAGATGTTCAGGAATATGGAATTACTTACTACCACAGTGCCCAAGTTTTACACATATTAATAGGGTTACTAGCCTCATACTTAACCTTTCCTCTCTTTGTCGGGATTATAACCAGGTAAGGTAGGTAAAGGTGTGCGTCGGCCAGGACTCAAACTCCGCGCCACGTACATGGTTGGTCAGCAGTGAACCATCGGCTCACACTATCTGGGGTCATACTGTTTTACAATTAGTATTTGTTGGAGAATGCTAACGTATGCAAAAGATAAGTGAAGCATAATTTCTTGTCACTCGATATCAACCGTCGTGTATGAATCAGAATGCATCGTGACCTAATTTTGTAATCACGCTTCA